TTTTGAATAAAATTGTTTTTCAGTTTCTTACAGACTTTTGACTCAAAATAAATTAGATCCCGATATTCAAACCTTCAGTTTCATTGATGAAAATAATCAATATTTTAATAAGAGAACAAACAAACAACCAGAGTGAACTCTTTATTTGGAGAAAAATCTTTGAAATCACTCAATTTTTCCAAAGTCAATGAATTCATCAAGAACAACATCTAAGTTCTAGGAAAAAGTTAAAATCATGCCATTAGTCTTTTCATACATAAAGATGTAGCTGTAAGATGACAGTTTTTTTCTACTTTTTTTGTTTATAAAATGACTTTTTCTGACATATTTCACCTCCGTTAAAGAAATATTCATGTAGAAAAACAGTTGTCGTCCCTCTCAACAAAGCAAAAATACAGAAATAAAAGGCGTAATAATAATACACTACGTTACAATGCGCTGACATGGCTTCAAAGCACACATATTACACTACTGTACAAGGGTTTCCCCCACAGACACAATGCAACAAAAGCACATCCACTGCTGAGGATAGATCAAACCTGTGAAACAGCTTAACACTGCTTATTTACTGAACCCTGACCACAGAGTGGCGTTGGCAACTGGCAAATGAGGTAAATGTTTCTAAAAAAAAGCACCAAAAGTTTGTCTTAAAATGAGCTTTAAATGTAGATATTTATATTTATATTTATATATATATATATATATATATAGCTTATACAGAACGGCAAATTGAAAGAATTTCAGTCCAGCTTCTCCAAACGGTTTTCCTTTATGTTTATTTGATTTTTTTTTTTCCTTTCAGATACACAAGACTGGAGAAACAAAGCACTGAATCTGCAGTTTTGGTTGAGAAGCCGCTGAATTCATACCGCCAGTTCTGCTCTGAGTAAAGTAAGCAGCATTCTTCCATGTCTGAGTGGGACATTAAATATCAATGTTTAGAGTGAAATCCAAGCAGAAAAAAGGGAAAAAAAAGTTACAGATTTGTCTTACATGGATTCACTTTTACATAAAAATCTTAATTAAAGGGAATATTTTATTTTTTTAAAACATATATAATTGCTTGGAAAGTTCTCAAGCACAAAGTTTGTCACTTGTTGAGAATATCTACATAAATGTCAGTAAGAATAGTTCCTACACTGTAAAAACACAAAATCTTACCAAGTATTTTTGGTCTATTTTTTTAGTGCAAATATCTTATTACGTTTGAAATCAGACAAAATTAACTCATAAGGAACTTTTCAGCAACATAGAGGAGCTTGTTTTAAGTAAATCTCCTAATTTTGATTTTAAAATATACTAGCTCCACTGGCAGATTATTTCACTTATAACATTTTTCCCATATTTTATCAATATTAAGTAATTATTAACTTAGAACAGGCTAATTTATCTTGCTCAAAAGTTATCTATAAGTTGATTTTGTCTTATTTCAAGTGTACCAACTTACAAATAAGTTTTCAACAAGATAGGTGAGCTTAAGTATTCATTAATACTGATTTTTAAAAACCGTACTAGTTCCACTGGCGGATTATTTCACTTATAATGGGGCATTTTCCCCATCTTTTATTAATATTAGTTATTTACTTAAAATAAGCTTTTAGGTGAGATCTACCAGCTTATTTTAAGCCAATAACTTCTTAAAATTGAAGAAAAAGTACTACCGTAATTTCCAGACTATCAGGTGCATTTAAAAGCCTTTAATTTGATCAGAAACCGACAGTGCGCCTTTATCTGGAGTAAAACAGCGCCGTCTAATGAATTAGTATGGATTAATTTTACCTGTTTTTTAGTGACCTCGAAGCGATTTTGTGCGGTACACGGCATGTCGAAATGTTTTGGCTACACTACTTTACGGCTACCGTAGTCAGGAGCGTCGCGGAGTAATACGTACCGTGCTTTCACCGACTAACTGTCAAGTTTTGGAGTTGAGAATACGAGAAATCTGTATCCGTCCGCTGCCGCCGTCGAAGCGGGTGGGGTGGTGGTGGGTATATTGATCTGGCGGTGAAAACCACCGTAAGAGGTGAGAGCTGGGCGGAGGAAGTCAATCGACGGCCGTAAGAGCCGGGGTTGACTACGTAATTACGTCGTAATTACTCTAATACGGGAGCACAACAGGACAGCTATCTTAGTTTTGTTTTGCTTAATGCGCCGCATAGACCAGTGCCCTTTATTATGAAAAAAATATACCATTCATTCCAATGCGCCCTATAGCGCGAAAAATACGGTAATTCTACTGCGTATTAAAAAATCATTTACTTAAAGCTCATATTTCCTGCTGAAAAGATACTTGTGAGTTAGTTTTGTCTTATTTCAAACGTAATAAGATTTTTGCCTTAAAAGTAGAGCAAAAATTCTTGATAAGATTTTATGTTTTTGTTGTGTACAAAGCTTAACCTGCGCATCATAAAATGTTTTTATTAAGAAACATCAAGGGAAAGTGAGCGAAAAACTGGGAAACTAAGGGTCTTTTAAAGATCACCTTCAATGCGTTAAAAAATAATAATAATAATAAAAACAACCTTAGGCCAAATACTTCAAGGGGACACCGATATCTAGAGCTAAGCGATGTGCAAACTTAACTGTGCATAGAGATCAAATTGTAATAAATATTAATGTGGTACTAGCATTATGACATGTTTTGTCAAAACATGTATGGGTGATTGTACATTTTTATTTAAAATTTAACTTTACTAAAACATTAAAAAGTTTTTTTTGTTTGTTTTTCTTTTACATATATAGTGCTGTTGGAAAAGTTTTTACTTTTTTTTAAAACAACAATCATTTCCCATGAAATGTTAGCCAGAGTCTCCGAAGAAACAGCCAAACACTCGACAAAACAAATAAAATAAAACCTGATAAGATTCGGAGATTTTTCAATTATTTCTCCAAGTTGAAAATCTTCTATAACTTTTCTTTTTTTTTCCAAATTGCTCTACACCAAAGAATCACATGAGCAACAAGCAAACGGGGTTTTATAATAAGCAAGAATCTTTACATAGAAGAACGTTCGAAGCGTTCAGAAAGAAGAAGAAGAAGAAAGGAAAGGCAAATGGCTCTATTTTAGCTTTAGTTTTCACCGTTTATTCGTTTGATGTAGCTTAAAGATGCGAAGCATAATGCCTGTCTTTGGACCACTGAGGTAATTGTTGGTGTGTGTGTGTGTAAAACATGCTGAAATGTTTCCTTAAACAATGTAAAAGAGAAACTAGTGTTCCTCTGAGCGTTTCAGAGGTTCCGTCTTAATTCGAGGTATATGATGCCGGGGCTGACTGCTGGCGCCTGTGGAAAATCTTACCAAGCATTCAGACAGATCAAGGTGAATTTCATTCACTCTGCTGTGCTGCGTCTTACAGTGTAACCCCCCCACTAATCCCACCCACCCACTTCAATGATTTCCTGTAGTCTCACTGCTTCATCTGCATCAACACATCCCTAAAAAAGCACCATGTGTCGCCCTGGTTTGTTCCTGAATAATCCCAGGTTCCATTCACCTTCAACTCGGTTCCTTCAGGAGTCGCTTTTTATTATTTACATATTTATATACATTATTTATGCGTGGAGTAATAGAGTTGCAGGTGGGGTTGGCGGTTATTTCACCACTTTGCCGTTTCGCCTTACAGTTTTGGTCGCTTCCTACCTGAATGTTTTCAGTACAAGCACAGCTTTCCTCCATACCAAGAATGAATTGATTAATAAATACAACCAGTAAATGATCATTTAGATTTTCTATTATCTGTTCTGTTTTGTTCCCCCGTAAGGGAGTGTGCTTATTTGATGCTGATGCTGAGCTGGCCCAAGGCACAAGTGAACTAAGCCACTGCACAGGGCCTCCAGGCCAGGAGGGGGCCCCAGAAAAAGGTAAAATAAATGAGTACAGAGAAGAGAACGTTCTGCGTTGGCTTGTAAACACCAACTTTCCTTACTAGCTGCGTTTCCATTTACCTTAAAATTGCGAAAATTGGAATTAAGAAAGTAAAGTTGCTTAATGGAAACATTGCTAATTAAAAAAAACAAGTTTTTCACTAGAATGAAGTGGTTTTTCAGCTGCACCAAAATTTGTGTTTTTCCACAAAACTGCAATGGAAAGACGTTTTTTTAGCATTACACGGGTCACATGATGAACAACCGGATGTTACTACTGGTGGAAATGACAAAGAAGACGACAGGAAGTGGCTGGATGATGATGATGTAGCATTTATTAGTCGCGTGCTAAATTAAAATGAGCTCAATAATTTCCATTTGCCTGATTTATCTTTTTTCTCTTTTTCTACCAAAGACTGGATGACAAAATTCTTCAGTCTGGTGTTTGGGTCTCAACTAGCCCTTTTTTGACGAATTTTTTTTTTTTTTTTACAGAGACTTCACAATTAATATTATTTATTGTTTGTGTTGTGTTTATTTATTTTTGATATTTAAAATGTCTTCCAGTTCATTTGAATTTTTATTAGAATTTAAAGTTTATTGATCTTTGAGAATGTCTTCTTGCATTATTATTTCATTACCACTATATTACTTGAAAATGGTCTCAAAACAATATTTTTGTTTATCGCAACAACTTCTGGACAATTTATCATCCAGCAATATTTATTGTGACAGACCTACTAATATGTTTTTTGTAATGATTTATCATGCAAACAAACTTTTTCAAGTGTGATTTTAATTTCGTTTCCATACCAAATGTGTGCCAAACTTTGTCACTAATCCATTTAAGTCAAAAACACACAACTTTGTAGTAGCCGTTTCCATTTAATAAGAAACAAAATTAAAATCAAATGTAAAAATGTTTGTTAAATCCTTAAAAAAAACAATGCGCCATAATCCTCCTGTGACTTCCTATCGTCGTCTTCTTTGTGGTTTCTACCAGTAGTAATATCCGGTTGTTGACCATTTGACTCGCGTGATGCAAAAAAAGTGAAATAAACCAATTTTGATCAGACTGAAAAAAAAAAAAAAAAAAAACACTATCAAAGCGCCAAAATATATGTTTTTTAAATTTGTTTTTCGAAGCTGGCGTGTTTCCATTAAGCAGATTTATTTTCAAAGTATTAAATTGCGCATTTTGTCAATTTAAACGCAGCTAGTAACTCTTTCAAGTTCATATAAATCTGCTGCACACATTTTAAAGATAAAGCTGCTTAATCATGTGAACAGATCTTCAAATTCATTGTCAACTCACAAGTTAACACTTCATTACCGCACAGATGATTAAGTTTGAACAATTTATCTGAGACGTTAGTGATGCCGAGGTGATAAATAAAATTTTCTGCTTCAATAAATGTTACCCATAATCATAAATTCATCAAAAACAAACTACCAAGAGAAATAAAATTATCTGAAACTATTAAGTAAAGGGATATGAAATAGTTTCTTTATGTGTATGAAATCGAAGCAGGAAGTTTAAAGTTTACACGTTTAAAATTATATTAATTGCTTTCATTTAAAAATTAATTATATTACTATTAATGCTGCTCCTACATGTAATATATGGCTGTTTTATTATTATCGCTAATGTATGGAAGGTGTAATAAGCTTCCATTGTGTTGTTTATCATCTGTGTTAGCTTCCCTGGTTGCTAGCCTGCACAAGGCTGTTTATTTTACCAACAGACATCTAGCCGCATGTTGCATATATTAGCTTCTAAAACAGTGTTATCCAAACAGAAAAACTAATTTGTGTATGGGAGTTTCATTAACTTTTCTAGAATATCATTAGAAAGACTTCTTAGATCAGAAAAGAACAAACTTTAAGAGGTTTTTGTGATGGTGAGCTTTTAAAAACATAGCACCCGCTCATTCCCAGTCAGTTTTATGCAATTCATTCAACTCCGCCACCAAAGTAACAAAATAACAATCCCAACAGTTTATATTTCACTTGAAACATCCAACTGGTCCAGTTCAGGGTTTGCTCACCGACTAGAAATGGCTTTAAACAGATAGAAGAGAACCGATCCTGAATGAAACCCATCGAAGGTGAATGGAACTCATAATCTCTCTGGACTTTATGAAACAGGGTTTCTGCACTATTCTACAAAAATGTTTTTAATTCGATACTTTTCGAAGCGCTGCCCATACGTGTGCTGGATTTACCACTTTGCTCTTAGCAATACATCACAACACAGGAAACAAATAAAAAATTAAAATAAAAAATAATAATCAGGCTACAACTATTATTATAGCTTTCTGGGAACTGAACATCTTTTTCTCCTAAACCCTCAAACCCTGACTGAAGGTGGAGTTAAGCTAATGCAATAAGACATGTAAGCCTGAAGGCCAGGGGTGTCCAACGTGAGGCCCACGGGCCATTTGTGGTCCTTGGACTTATTTTGTGCGGCCCCCAACTGCAGTTCAAATATGATTGAAATTTGACCCGTTTATGCAGACAGAGACTTTCAATTCGTAACCAAGGTGAAAAAATGTTTCCGACACAGGAAATTTAAAGTACAACACAAAGTATTTGTGGTTTTAGAACCAAGTTTTAACAAAAGGTAAAACCAAGAGACTTTTACTGAAAAGCCAACTTTGCTGCACCCAGAATTATCTTTTATTCTTTCTTAAACTCAGCTAAAAATAGCAAACGGTTTGAAACAAAGTAACCCAGTTTCTGTTCTTATTACTGAAAATTTATTAAATTGAGCCCAAAGAAACTGAAAACTGGACTTTGTTCTTTTAATACAAACATGCAAAATCTACGAAGGAGTATTAGGGTCTTATAAAATAAAAAAGTAGCAGATTTCTGGCAAAAACCTTAAAACATTTGAGGGTAATCTCAGAAATTTTCTAGAAAAAACAAGAAAAAAAATTAATAAAACTTTTAGATTAATATCAGGAACTTTCTACAAAATTTTTTAATTGAAATGTCAAAACTTTTCTTTTGAAAAATTTAAAGTTTTCTAGAAAATGTCTCAGATTAATGACAAGATTTCTGAGTTTTTGGCAAAAATGTGATCTTTTTTTCTATCTACAAAGGTCCTGATACTGCCAAGTTTTGGATCTATAATATGTGAAGGCTACTTTATTTGACTGATTTTAGGTTGGGTGTTTTTGGCCTTTTGAATCTATATTTTCGACCTACGTGACGATACGTTTGGACACCCCTGCTTTAAGTGCTGTTACCACCAAATAATGAAAAAAAAAAAAAAAAGTGTTAAGCGTTGGTTTGAGGAATGAGCTAACTAATCTCCTCCTCCTCCTCCTCCTCTCCCCTGAATTTCCCTTTCTCCCATTTCCTCCTGTATTTAGGTGGAGGAAGCTCCATGGCTGGCCATGCTCGGCATGCTGCCAACCATAGCGGCTGAGCCAGCCATACCTGAGGTTCCTCCCATACCTGGAGGACTGTGCTTGGTAGGTGAGGTCATGTCGGCTCCACGCCCCTGACCCGGGCCGAGGGTCTGCGGGGCGTGGTGGGCGTGCTGCAAGGCGTGGCGGTCCAGCAAGGTGCGGTGGGTGAATGCCCTGTGGCAAACATTGCACTGGAAGGTGCGCTCGGCACGGTGGGTGCGCATGTGCACGTTCAGGGAGCTTTTCTGCGTGAAGCGTTTGCCGCACATGGTGCACTGGAAGGCCCGGACGCCAGTATGCACCACCATGTGTTTGAGGAGGTAGTCCCGCAGGGAGAAGGAGCGCCAGCAGATGGAGCACTGATGAGGTTTCTGACCTAAAAGACAAAATAAAGGTTTACTCAGTTCAAAGGAATGCATGTGTAAATTAGCAGAGTTGGGTAGTAATTAGTTACTACGTCTGTCACAATAACAAATTCTGATGGACGATAAGTTGTCCCAGAAGTTATCGCAATAAATGATAACATTGATCTTTTGAGACCATTTTCATGTAATATAATGGTACAAACTTCCAGAAAACTGTAAAACAGCCGAAACACTGAGTTCCTGTGAATCCAGTGTTTCTCTAAACCCAGCTGTTTAGAGTTTCTTTTGTGCCAGAATAAATGAAACACTAATCAACATTTTTGATGGGTAAATGACAAAAAACATGTTTTAATTGTTGATTTTTGAGTTTTTATGATAAAGCACTTTGAAAAGCCTTGTTGATGAAATGTGCTGTACAAATACAATTTGATAACAATAATGCAAGAACACATTTAGAAACACTTTATTTGAATGTGTGTTCATAAGACTGACGTAACACCTGCTATGAACATGAAGGAATCTTCATGAATGTTTATGACTGCTGTCATGATGTGTAATTTTGTAAATAATGACACTTTTATTGCAAAGTTTCACTAAAAGCTGCATTAAAATTAAATTAAAAGTGTCAGCTTTGCATTATTCTGTAGATTTTTAATGCAAAGTTACAATATAACTGTCATTATTTACCAAATGATGTATCATGACAGTCAAACATTGATGACGACTCCTTCATGGTAATCACAGCTGTTCTGTCATGTTCATGTCAGTTTTATGCAAACCTCTTCAAATAAAGTGTTACCACAGATTCTGAGATCAACAAACCTCTGAAGAACATTTTACACTGGATGTGGAAGACATTTTAAATATCCTAAGTAAATGAATAAAATGACAGAAACAACAATTAAACTGAATTATAAATTCTGTAAACAAAACTGTCCTTCAAAAACAGGTCTAGTTGAGACCAGTGAACCAGACTGAAAACTTTTATCATCCAGTTTTGATAGAAATGGAGAAAAGAGAACAACAACAAATTGCACAAATGGAAATTATTGAGCAATAAATTGATTTAGTGTTTGCGTCTACATTACCTGAAATCAATCAAAGGGTTCTAGAATTAAGTCAGATCATTGTGTAATCAAAAGTTTTTTCAGTTTTCCACTTTGTGCATTTTAATTTGAAAAACTTTTGGGACAATTTATCATCCAGCAAAGTTTGGTTTTAGTACAGAACTCACCCGAGTGGATAAACATGTGCTTGCTGTAGTTCTTCCTGGATCGCAAAGATTTGCCACAGTGCGTGCAGTCGAACGAGGTCTCAGATCCCTGGGAGGAAGGAGAGGGCCCTGCCGAACAGGAGGACGCTGAAGAAGTGGGGACGGGGGTCATCGGCGCTGGGGGCGGAGCCTGTTGGGACGGCTCACTTCCCGCCATGTTGTCCATCCCTCCCATGGGTCCTCCCACGTAGAACGGGGGAGGCTGCGAGTGGCTCACTGGGTACTGGAAAAGAAGCTATGGAGGAATACGGACAGATCATCGTAAGACAGGGTTTATGGCTGAAAAACCTGCCACAATATAAGCATTTCATATCGATAATGATCATTTTATTGTTTTAAATATATGAAACACTGACAGTGACGTGACTTTTCCTCTTCTATCCACTGTTTTCACTCCTTGCCCATTGTTTTTATACATTTTTAAGCAGTTACGGCGGCGAAACCTTAAACTGCTGCTGTGCCAGTCACTCAACTGTTCTGTTGTTGCTAGGTAACCAAAGAGTGAGTGAGTTGCTAGGGAACCAGAGTGAGTGAGTTGCTAGGTAACCAAAGAGTGAGTGAGTCAGTTGAATCCACCACATAGCTTAGTTGCCTAAAGCCTTTCCTTTACCTAAATCTCCCAGAATGCCTTGTGGTTCTGGGTCAGATTTCAGTGAATGTACATATATTGATTATTGACTATTCCTACAGTTGTATTTTCTGTTGATATTGATCATATGTCTATCTCAGTATATACTGTTATTTGATTTATTGTCTAACATGAGTAAAAGCTCAGCACAAACTATTAGCTTTGGTCTCTAGAGACAAACGTCTACAGCAGGGGTGTCCAAAGTGCGGCACAGGGACGATTTATAGCCGTCTGAAGGACTCTGAGCGGCCGCCCTGAGCTCATCTCTAGATTTTAATGCAGATTAACACTTTTAAATGTTATAGGGAAACATTTTCTTTTACAGATAAATCAGGATCAGAGTAACTTTATTGATCCCCAAGGCTAGATTGTTGATTTGTTGACAAGCTACTCCCATCCAAAGTGTTATATCTTCAACCAGATTTTTACAATTTTCAAACTTTAGTAAGATTTTCTTCAGTCATATTTGTCTTTGCAGTGTTGCCAATGTGTGACAGGAGGCACTGACCTGGTTGTTGATGGACTGCGAGGATGGAGGCGGAGTCAGCGGCTTGTTGACCCTTCCTCTGGGGTTAAACGCCATGGCTTGAGGAGGTTCACTCTGAGGCCAGAAACTCTCTGAGAAAACCCCATGGTCATCGTAGAAATCCTAAAATCCATACAAAAAGGCCACATAAATTATCTACAAAACAAACAGATGAATATATAAAAATCAAACATTTAATGGTTTTCATAGTTTAGCTTCAGCTCCTGGATTAAAACAGATCTACTGGATTTCATTTAAGGGCATCAAAGTAAAAGGGGCCGAATGCAAATTAACTCAGGATCTGATGATTAATTGAAGGATTCAATACATAAAAATTAAAAAATAAAAAAAATTCTTTGCCCTGATTCTTCAGTTGTTTCTTCGTTACGCTGCCTCATGATTTCAGCTGTTTCAAGGGGAAGATTATTGCGGTTGCACAAAATGAAGTTTTTCATTATGAACATAATGAACTTAAAAAAAAAACATGAACTGTTATACTGTTAGGTCTCCATCAAAAAAGAAATGAGTGGATATTTCATACAGTAAACTAAGTTTGCTTACATAATAAAAAATAAAAACAATAAAAATATAATCAGAACACCAAGTAGAGAACATATTTGCGGATTTGATATTTAACTCCATAAGAAATGCAATAATGATGAAGAACATAATTCAACTTTAGTGATGGTTCTTATCATATTCCAATCTGAATGTAATAAATATTATAAATATACACAAAGTCACATTTTATTTTTATTTACCAATAATTACATTTTAAAATGCAATTAGGAAAAGAAATGATGCTTCATGATAATTTCTGATAAATTTATTAGTCATTTTTGTTCTTAAAATAACCAAATTTCCACTAAACTTCATATTTTGGTCCGTCTGATTATGTCATTTTTAAATATTAAGTGATTGATAATTTGATCAGTTACTCAGTATTTGAGTAAACTTTTTACCTAATACTTTTTAACTCTTATTTGAGTCATTTCCTGGATGGCTACTTTTTACTTTTACTTGAGTGAAAATATGTTGAAGTAGTGCTACTCTGACTTGAGTACAATTATTGTACTCACCTCTGCATATTACACAATAATTAGAAATAAAAAACCCAAGCAGGTGTTTGTCAACCGATACCTTTTTTCTGTTTATGGCAATAAAAACCGACACAAACGAAGGAGAAAATCAGCCCGTCAAGACTCGTCTCCCACACAATATGAATGCAAATTGTGTTGATGAACCCTGCTTTTTCTCTAATTATCATTTCTAATTATGCATGTTAAACTAATTATCATCCCATTTACAATTTCTGCAGTTAATCATATCTATCGCCTTTGGCACCAACTGATTACAAAAAAGAAAGTAAAAAAAAAAGATTTTATTAACATGTTAATATTTCGTATATTCCACTTCCCAACTGATGCAAGGTTACAGCCATTTTCAAAGACCGAACCAGGTAAAGATGGCAGAAGGTCCGTCTGGCTCATATAAACAATCCATCGACAAAGTCAGGTAGAAAACAACTAAAACTGCAAATGTACCACATATGCAAGGGAACAAATGATTCACTGCACAAAAAAACTAAAAATCTTGCCACACATTTTTGGTCTAGTTTCTAGAGAAAATATGTTAGTACATTTGAAATAAGACAAAACTAACTTTTCAGCAAGAAATATTTACTTATTCTAAGTAAATATTTCCTTAATTTTGATGAAAAATTAATGTCAGATTATTTCACTTGTAGGAAGACATTTTTCCCATGTTATAAGTGAAATAATCTGCAAGTGGAGCCAGCATTTTTTTAAATCAATAGTAAGGAATTGTTGACCCATTTCTTGCTCTAACGTTAGTTTTGTCTTATTCTGAGTGTAGATATTCACACTAGGACCAAGACCAAAAATCCTCGGTCAGACTTGGTGTTTTTGCAGTCTAAGCATCAACGTTTGCACCATTAGCAAAGAAAAAAAACCTTCAATGCTTTCCATTCAAAGTCACAAACACAAGCCAATCAAAACTGGATGATTTTCAGCCCAACTGAAACAGACTAAACTAAAACATCTGATTTTTTTTTACCTTTCCTGCTCTATCCACAGTTTTCACTCCACTACATTGTTTTTTATTTTTTAAGTAGTTATGAGGCACAGTGCCGCAACCTTAAGCTGCGACTGCGCCAGTTACTCCACACGTTGTTGCTAGGTAACCAAAGCGCGAGTGAGTTGCTAGGTAACCAAAGAGTGAGTGGGTCAGTTGATTCCACCAACTTTTCTTCAATGAATATATTCTAAATATTTAATATTCTATCAAATGTATCATCTACTGACATTGATCACATGTCTATCATGATATATATTGTTATTGATTTATTGTCAATAACAAGGCCTGAGGTGTCAAATTCCAGTTCTCCAGAGTCTGCATGTTTTTTGGTCCAACACACCTGAATCTAATCACTGAATTAGCTCCTCGATATGCAAACAAATGCTCGAGTCCTGCTAATGACCTAATTATTTGATGCGAAGGCTGCAATTAACAACTGTTTTAGTAATTGATCATCCTGACAGTTAAATCGGATAAAAAAGTGGCATATTCCACAGATTTTTCATTTAACTACTTCAGTCTTTTTATACAGTATAAAAAATACATCTAAAAATACAAATAATTAAATTAATTTTTTAAAATAAAAAAACAAACATGTTTATTGCTTAAAGTACCGTAACGTTAGTGAATTTGAACCAGGTGAAGCTGAAACTATTCCACTTCAGAAATTTTGAGTAAAACGTATTTACAAATAAAATGTTTTTTTTCAACTTATAATTTTTATATTTCGTTGTTACATAATACAGAACAAAAAAGAACAAATGTTTAAAATGAATAAAATCAGAACACAGTGACAACTTCTTTTATTCCAACCTTATGGTGTTTAGTTCCTGCAAAGATTTCTAATCTAATCTGTATTAGATTAGTTATTAGATCTAATCTAAAATCTAATCCTCAGTCAGAAGCTTCTTCAGATTACCTGTAATACAGACCAGAGCTTTCCTGCCAACAGCCATCACCATCTCCAGTAACACTTTGAAAAATATGAATGAATGAGTTACAACATTTAATTTTCCTTTGGGATCAATAAAGTATTTTTGAATTAAACAACATCCATTTTTCCCACAGTTGTTCAGCTTTTGATTGTCGTTTTCTGAGAATAGAAATAAATCCCTCCGTCAAAGGTGTTTTTATCTTAAGTACAAAATGTATAGATATTTTGTGCAGTTTTGGCTTAATTACTGCCCTGAATATGTTGTTTTTTCAGCAGTTGCCTTTATTTGAGTCTAAATTAGTAAATTACTAAATTAGTAGACAATTAATTTGATTGTTTCAGCCTCATTTGATTCAGGTTTCTTGAGGCAGAGACACATCTAAAAGTTTCAGGACATTGACCCTCGAGGACTTGGAGTCATAAAATGAGATAAAACTGGTTTCTTTCTTTCAGACTGCTAGTTATTAACCACGCTATTCCCCAATTTGAGATGCAAAAAACTGCCTAAAATGTGAACTCTAAAAATCATTTTCTTTTTTTTTTCCTTCTACGTACTAATAAGCCACAACTTCCTTTACTTGATAAGACATCGTATTGGCTCATTTGCATAAAAAAACATTTAAATGAGCCCTAAAAGATCTTAACCTATGGGGATTATAGTTCAAGTAGCATAGAGATGAGTCAGAATGAACTTTGCTTTCCACCACGTCCTGTCTTGTAAAGAGAAAAGAAAAAGTGCTGAAAAAAAAAATATGTGAAGATGTGCCAGTTTGTGCACTTTACTTCATTTCTAATTAAGACTTGGTGCAGTGCTTCACAGAAAACTGAAGGCAGAGCTGAAACCTTTTGACAGAGTGGCAGCTCTTCTTTGTGTAGGCTGCAGTGTTCGGCACCATAAATAAGAAGATTCTTGGTAAAAAATAAATACAAAAGCCCTTTTTATGTATACATTTTCTGCAAAAATCCATGCTCCATATTTTAAATGCAGAAGCAATAGCCTTCTTCATGTAGCAGATGCTGAACTATAAATAAAAATCTCAAATTTTAGCCTTCAACTGCTGCTTTTCCTCATTAAAAATCAGCATACCTGTCCGAAGCTGGCCATGGAGTCCTGGGCGCCCTCCTGCTCTTGGTCCCGCCTCCCGTCCTCCAGGGAATAGACGGTCCCATCCGAGTCCTGCACGCCTTCATCTTTAACCACGACTCCCTCTCCTCCCAGCACCTGAAAACAGGAAGGTCCACGTCAATCCATGCAACAACTGACGACAGAGCTAAAAAAAAGGCAGCAGAAAAAAAAAAAACAAGTCAGTAAGGACAGTGGCACTGTCCAGGCTGCAAGCGGCTCCTAATGAGCGCCAGGCACTTACAGCTAATATGCAGAAGTCCATAGATTACCAAGGCTGCTGCTACTGGAGTTGAGACAATAGATACAATTGTGCAAAGTGGAGAAACATCTCTGCGATATACGCCAATGCAGTGCGAGAAGAGGGAAAAGCATATAAAGAAAGCAAAGGAAAACGTTGCAGCTCTGCATGCCTGAAAGCTGTAACCATAGCAACCCTTTCCCTTATCCCCCTACCTGGAGTCTTAGCGGCTGCCTCTGCTTGCGGCTGTGGCTCGCCCCCCTGTCTCTGTCTCCGTCTCTTCCCCGCTCCCTCCCGTCCAGGTCCTCCTCCTCGCTATAGCGGTCCATCCCCACCAGGTCGTCGGAGAGGTCACCAGCGTTGCCACGGAGGCTGTCCCTGCCGACGCTGTCCACGCTGCCCACCCCGGAGCTGCAGCCTGCAGACAGGCTTCCCGTGCTACTGGTGCCAGCTCCGTTGGCGGTCTGCGCCAGCAGGTCTCGCAGCTTGTACCGGACGTCCTGAGTGCAGCTGGAGGTCTGCTTCATGAGGACCGGGCCGGCACCGGGGGGCATCCCGTCTCCGCCGCACATCGAGCCGGGCCCCATCTCCCCCAGCGCCATCAGGCTAACAGTGCTACTTTGATCCAAGGGGCCCGGCCCACTGTCACTAACGCTGGAGCCCCCCAAGCCCCCGGCCATGTTGCTAGCCCCACATTCTGTCATGAAATTAGAGAAGTTTGCATAACCTCCAACGCCGCCTGCGCTACCAACAGAGCAGCTCCCACTGCTGCCGCTCTCCCTCCCTTTGCCCAGGCCACGCTCTTCCTGTTTTGGGAGAACTCCAGCAAGCATCCCTCCTCCGGCTCCTGTCCCTGCAGCTGCTGCTGCGGCTGCCGCTGCAGCTGCACTCGCCGCCTCCGCCGCCGCCTTCCTCTGAGAGATGATCTGGGTGCATTCATCAATGACCGTCTTGATCTGCAGGATGCTGGCAGCTGTCAGGATGCAGAGGGCCTGCGACTGCAGCACCACCAGGGAGCCGCTGTACATGAAATCCACGAGCTGCTTCACGGTTTCCGCGGGTACCAGCGGCGGCACGGAGATCTCCGAGTGACCCAGCAGGAGCTTGTCCTGGAAAAACGGGCTGCCGGCCGCCAGGACGCAGGCGTGGGCTCGCAGGGAGGCATCGTGTATCCGGACGGTCACGTCGCAGAAGAGGCCTTCGCGCCGCTGCGTCCGCAGGGCCTCCAGCACCGACTGGCTGGAGTTGTGCAGGTGGATGTAGTGCACGGTTTCCGTGCCGGACACCATGGCTGGGGGCGGAGAGTCGCTGGGAACTGGGTGGGGGTGGGAGTGGGGCTGGGGGAGGGGGGTCAGGTGCCTCGGGTTTTGCGTCAGCTTGAGGTGTGAGGAGGACGGAGAGGGAAACGGATGCGGTGCGCGGGGCCACAGAGCGGCGGCCGCTTCGGCTCAAAACGTCATGAGTGCGATGGAGGATCTGGGCGGTGAAGCGTAGGAGGAGCTGCGTCTGTTAACGTGCAGTCAGGCGGTCGTTCCAAACAGCTTCACTGTCATCTGGAAAATCTATAAAACACAGTCAAAATTTACATTAATGCATAAAGAGCATGACCGTTTACATTTCATAAACAGAAAAAAATTATCTGCATCTTTGAACAGAGTTGGGTTCAAAGATGAATAGTTACATTTATGAGAATATTTAGTTCTGTCTCAGTAATTTTATTATTAAGTATCTCTACTCTTACTCGAGTAAAATTTCTGGATTCTCTATTCACTGATTGAAAAACAAATGTTTTAACCAAAAATTCACCGGACACAGGCACACACCTGCAGTTTTTGTTAAAGTTTCATACATTTTTTGTTGAAAGAAACTTATTTGGAATTTTCTTCTTTTGTCTGACTGTTATTTTTCATTACTTATACGAATTATTGTATTTTTGCCCTTAAAATACTAAAATTTCAACTTAAATTTATATTTTGGTCCATCTGATTATGCAGTTTTTAAATATTAAATGATTAATTATTTGATAGTTTACTCAGTATTTGAATAGACTTTTAACTCTTTAGTAATTTCTTGGACGACTACTTTCTACTTTTACTTCAGGTAAAAATATGTTGAAGTAGTGCTACTTTTACTCGAGTACAATTTTTGGGTACTCTTCCCACAAAAGGCCTCATAAATCCACTATTGAGGTAAAAAAAATTGTGACTCATTGAGCTTCAGGCTTTAATGACACATAAAAACATACATTTTAAACATATCAAACAATTAACATAAAAAAACAAAACAAAAATCCAAACAAATACTCGTAAATGTCTCTTTTTCTGTCTGGTTACTGCGTATACGCCTGAATGTTGAAAAGGTGAGCACCTGAGCGGCTCCGGGTTAATCATTAAATTAGTCGCGTGCGTCCTCGTGAACACCTGTTTTGGACAAATGACAGCACGTGCGATGCGCGAGTCCGGCGGCTCTTCGGGTCAGCAAACTTGGCGGTTCCGCACAGCGGGTGGCCGGTGCCGAAACGCAAAGACGGGGGAAAGGGAAAAAAAAAAAAACCCATAAAAAACGACCGTTAGCTGTGAAAAGAAAAGCTCGAGGACCGAGGTGGTAGTTTGTAACAAATGGCAAGCCGTCGTTGATGCAGTCTGAAGGTTTTGTCTGTTGGAAATGTTAATAATTGCCAACCGTCAGCGCCTGAAGTCAGCAAACAGGTTATCGGTAACGGGCTAACACTGGCTAGCGCTAGCTGTTGACATTAGCCGTGTAGTTCTGGCACGGAAATTTGCAGAAAATCTACACGCAAACCGCGATTTTGTAGTTTTTATAACGCAAATCGAAGCATTAGACGTATAACTACAAATGGCACCTTACCTAGTATCACCAAACTGCCTACTGAAGGTTGCTCCCACGCTTTAACCAATGCTAACCAAGCTAGACTACTAGCCCAAAGACACAACTAGTAAAGTTAGCCTGCCGACGGCTAACGCAGCCTGCGCTCTCCAATGTTTGAAGCGCGTCAGCAACACACTGGAGTTGAATATATTCCAGGTGTCATGGCGTGTCGTTAAATCCCAGCTACTCACCGGGGAAATGGACGGTGACAGTTCGGCGCGTGTTAGTTTGGTGTCAGATGGATGCAGCAGGAAGCCCTCATGTAACGCACCCAGTCTGGTTGGAGCTCAAACAAACACCAGTGCGCACACACATTCAGCTTCACACAGGCAGACGCATAGAGACACAGAAAATGAGTTTTCTTTTGAACAACGTCAACTAAACCACAGCTGTAGGTGTTTCTATGCAATCAAAGAAACTATAAGCAGACTCTCTTTCTGCACAAAGTGGAACAGTACCTTTTTTTTTCCTTTACAAACCCTCACACACTTTAAGATAAGAATGCGTGGAAATGCAAAGAAACACACCTATACACCCACGCACCTTCAAATAAGCATACCTGAAAGACAAGAAAAAACGTGTAGGGTTTATAAGATTAATACTTAATCTGATTTAAGACTTTAGACTGGGGTTTACATACAACACAAAGATTCCTAGAAACCACAAATGAGAAATTTCTGACATTTTGAGCTTGGCTTCCCTTGAAATTCAACAGGAACACAAACAGTAGGATGTTTTTAGTAAGACTGCATGATATATCGGCACCAACATCAGTATCGGACGATGGTAATTGTTTAAAACTGGGTCGATATGAACAACTGATATTTTTATATTATTGCCATTTGTTCTGGTGGGGATTTTTTTCTAAAAGTGTCGATATAGTGAAATATATCGGTAAATATTGGTTGTCAACCATAATAGCAATATTATCGGATATCAATATCAGCCTGAATTTTTTGTACTGGTGCATCTCTAGTTTTTAGTTGTAAAAGGGGCTTTTAGTAGAAGAGTATAAATTTGTAAATTTATACTCTTCTACTCTTGTTTTTGTACTAAAAGTACAAAAACAAGTAGAACATTCAATACTCTAAGGACAAATTTACAGCATACAGAAATTTTTTAATAACTACTGTGTAATTATAAACAGTATACTGGGTGTGCTGTGGTGGCGTAGGGGTTAAGCACAGCCCACATATGGAGACTTTAGTCCTCAATGCAGCTGTCGCAGGTTCGATTCCCGGTCTTGGCGACCTTTGCTGCATGTCTTCCCCCTTCTCTCATTACCCACTTTCCTGTCAATTAACTATCAAATAAAGGCCACTAGAGCCAAAAAAAATAGTATACTGTAATTAAAAGAAATGTGCAACTGAGTAGAACAAATAAAAAATATGTGCATGTAGTGAATAAAAAACAACAGACTACAAGAAGTGAGGGTAAAACAGCAAACAGGGATGTGCAAATAATAGCAGGAATGTTTTCTGAAAAGTGAAAAACTAAATAAAAGCAGGGATGTTAACTCTCATTGAGATTTCTGATAACCTTGGAGCAATACACAGCAGGTTCACAGAACAAGTATAAAACAAAAATGTTAATTGTAAGTTGATCTTTTTATTTCAAACAGAAGCAAAAATTATTGCAGTTGCTGCTAAGTTTCTAACTTATTTTAATTTTAAGGCACACTGCTTTGTGAAGTAGTAATTTTGAAGGATTTATTCTTTAGGATTTTATATATTTTTGATGTAGGGCTCTTTGGAGAATAACCAGCTGATATTAACTGTTAGATCAGCTTTTTTTTATTATACTGATTTAGAAATAACAGGTATGTTACAGAATGTAAGACGTGGATCAAGTCAATCATGAGTGTTTATGCTCATGTGACACAATATTTTATTCATTTACTGTCATGTTTTTTTTCTCTTCTGCTTGTTTAGAAGAATTAAAATGATAAAGTTCCTTTGCGCGCATTAATTTACAAAACATATTGGTTAGTGTGATAGAAATAGAAAATAGAAAACTCTTATTCCTTTAAAATTTTGAATTTAGGGACCAAAATTAAGAAGCAGATGATGAAACTGGATTCAGGTTAAGATTAATTCAGCCCTCCATACAGAAAAATAAAGGAAAATCCATCAGTATGCTCCATTTTCAAGATGATGACATCACTGGATACGATTTCCTGTACTAATCAGAAGTTTAATCTAAAAATTACAAATATTTTGGTAATCATTGGGGATCAGGGCATGTCTTTTGCATTATTAAAATAATTTATTTTGACTGTCAAAATAAAATTTCTCCTTATGTCATATTCAGTCAGTTAAATTATTTAATGGTCATAATAAAAAATTTAAATCAATGCATATACCCTAAAAAAAAAAAAAAAAAAAAAAACATTAAACATCAACTTTAGCCCCTAGACGGAAATGTCTGATTTGAACTTAACTTAATAAGCAAATAACTGACACAATAAGAACCGGATGTGATCAGTTGGGAAAGCTTGCTGGACTATTACACAATACAACCACCCAGCTTTTTACAAACACATGTCTCTGATTACTTTTATTCTCTGCTTTGAATATGACAGGTGCTTTGGCCTGTTCAAGATGTGCTCATTATTTTTTTTACATAAAGGTCACTCTTTGATAATGAGATTTCAGTCTAGTGAGTTCTGCCCTTTTTGAGCTCCTTTCAGAGTGAGCAGCTTTAGGGCTCTGTCTCTTTAAATCCAAATAAACTGCTGCTGACCACGCTCTCTAATCAACTTTTACACTCACAGATGAAAATGGCTGCAAACAGATGCGCAATTATAAACCATACATGTTTGGAAAGCAGAAGTGGAGCCTCCTGCACAACGAAAAAGAAAGCAAGTAGTTTCTGGATGGTAATCAGCAACACAACACATGTCTTTTCCAGCAGCCATTGTACAGCACAGACAGAAGAAAAACCAGCTGACCAAACCTGGTCCCCCAACTTTGACACAAAACGTTACATTTGTGCTGGTTTGTGCAGCCAAATCTTTTGTTTGTGCTGCTATTATTTTAAAGACATTAATAAAGCAGTTTCCAGAAGTCATCATCGATGTCTTGAAAGCAAAAGCAGCACAAACAGAAATATTTGCTGCAGAAACATCGCTGAATTGATTGACACCAAATTAGTTTGATTTTGTAAATGTGAGTGGAGGGAGGGAGGTCGGTTGACCTCTGATGATCTTTGGAAACTTTTTGAAATTGAAAATGAGCTGGAGCTCTGCTTGGGTTGCTAGTTAACAGTCTGGTCATCACTGGGGTTGCTAGGTAACAGTCTGGGCTTTGCTAGGCAATGGTGCAGTGCACGTTGAATGTGACTCATTAATTGATTGGGAGGTTTTTGAAATGGCTCGTTTTTCAGACACCAAAAAACATTAACTTTTGCCAAAAAAAAAAAAAAAAAAAAAAAACGTCTGGGTGTTTTTTTAAGCACCTGAGTTGTTTTTAGAAGC